AAACCACCCCAAAGGTCACGAATGCCTTCTCTATTTCTGCTAACTAGTACTCAGTTTCTTCAAAAGTGGATGCTCTTGCAAAAGTAGATGAATTAAGTCTCTTATACTTCTCGATATAGCCCGAGTCGATCATAGACAGAGCTGAGTCATGCTAAAGGGGAACTGGATAATGCTGGAGAGGAACCGAATGGCCCTGTGGTGGCACCAGGTTGTAGGATGGAGGCACTAAATTATATTGCGGTGGTGCCATATAGTACTGTGGAGGACCTGGGTTTTACCGCAGGGGTACTGAATCCTCTCAGTGTTGAGGTGGCTCATACTGTGGCAGGTGTGAAAGCGGATCAAATAACTCCCTTCTCTCATCCCTGGTCTGCTGGGCAGAAATGAGTCTCTCAAGCATTTCAAAGAGCCAATCAACATCCTCCCGAAGTGATTCCTCCCATGTTGCTCTATTTAGCAGGGGCCTTCCTCTGTTTATGTTTCTTTACCTACATTTCATTACAATGGTTTAAGATTTAGGTTGTATTAAATTTACTCTAAACCTATGAGTAACTGAGAAATGCAGATCTGATACCAACTGTAAAAACCCAAACCTCCATCAAGGATTTCGAGCGTATGACTTAGTAATAGTCAAATAAAAAATACTGAATTTTATGATTTAATGGAAGCAAATAAAGTTTAAGGTTACATTCCTTACACAGTTTACTTAAATGCCCAATAGGATTATGGGAATGCTCTTGAAACTTAAATAGGAAAAACATAAGAGAAAACATATATGATTAACCTCTTGTTAAAACTAACGAAGCAGAAGAGGCAATCTCTTAACTGGTTTCTTGATGTTCAGAATCCGGGTCTTGGTCTTCCTGATCTGAAATGGTTAATAATAAGGGGTGAGCTACACTAACTCAGTAAAAATATCAACACCTTATCTCTGATACAAAAATCAAAGGATTATGAAAAACATAAAACAACCAAAGGAGTTCATTTTTAATAAAACTCGGATGTTAGTGCATTCATTATTCGTTAC